TTCGTTTGTCAGTATATCATATCTGTTTGTATGTCCTTTTTGAATGCCGACGATCCACCCAGAAAGAATCAAAAAGCCAAGGATCTACACAACTTGGGAGAGACGAACGCCGACAATTCTTCGTGCATGGATGGGGCAACCCAATGGGTTCCTACTCTCCCAGGCAGTTTGGGTCTCCGACCGGCACTGGTGGCGGCTGTGGCACTGGACCGGCGCCTGCAAGAAGTTTAGCTTGGCCAAAGGTCTTGGAAGGCCGGCTCTGAACAAATTCAGGAGCACCGGACCTACATATATTCTAATCCTTGGGAGAAGCGGACACTGCAATGGTTGGCGGATGTTAGTGGGACAATCCAGAAGAGAGCGGCTGCATCAACAGGCGGCGCCCAGCTATTCCAATGAAGCCTTCACACAAACTACATCGCTACATCATGCCAATCAACTATCAGCCTGCATCGGCAGCCAAGCCACTGGCAGCGGAGGAGCCTGTGCCACGAGCAAGGAGTTCAGCTTGGGCACACACTCACTCTGTACAGATTCTGGTCTGGACACCTGAGGAATTCTCATCTGAAGCCAAACCATAGATTTGAAAGGAACAACATGGAGGAATCAGCTGCAATTGGTGAATGACTGTTTACCTTGGGTTCTGCACGGTTTGTGCAGCTCCAGCATTGATCAAGAACTATTGACCAACTTGTCAGATGGTTGGGATTTGCGGATTCCAAGATGAGATGGACTAGTTCAGCAGGTTCGGTTACAAGTGATTCATATTGATCAGCACATGAAGGGGTGTCATGTAACCCGTCGAAAACTGCGTTGATTCATTGAGACACAACTTGGGTGCTTTGCCGGCCTGCATGTGTCAGAATATCTGTTGGTATGTCATGTCTTCTTATAATGCTGACTATCCACCCAGAAAGCATCAAAAAGCCAAGGATCTACACAACTTGGGAGAAACGAACGCTAACAATTCTTAGTGCATGGATGGGGCAACCCAATGGGCTCCAGCCATTTGGGGTCAAAACCTCAACGGATTGGAATCGACTGACATCTCGTCGCCTGGACCCACTTCCAAATACGGATGGATGATTAATAAAAAGTATTCCAAACAAGCATCCACTTAGGACGTGATGTTGTCCATGAATACCTCAATCGCAAGTGTCTTTTGCACTAATGTGCATGAGAAACCGGCAACCCCGACCGCCAGCTTTCCTTTTTGGCTCCACGATTCGCGGCTGTTCACGACTGACAAGCAACTGCGTGGCGTGGCGCTGTTTGGCAATCAAGCATGGACCAGTATCAGTAACCAACTGAGAATGTAAACGTGAGGCATTATCCTTTACCATCCTTTACCTGTAAAATGAAGCATTGAAGGTATACAGTTTACAGGGTTTACATGGTGCGATTGCCAAACACTTGGGGTGCCCTGCCTGCGAGCGCAGTGGGACTTGACATCAGGGTGACGAAATGCGATGGAAACCACGAGAACTCCTCTAAAGACTCTAAAGCACAAGTTGACGGCCGAACAGAAGTTCTCCTGTGATTCCTGGACAAGTCTCCTTTGCTGAAACATGCTTGTTTGACAACCAGGATACAAAAACCATGAGAAATACGTATGTCAAGGTGGCTATGTTCGACCCGAATGGATTTGCATCCGTACATGGACTCAAACAATTCCAACTGGACGATCCATAATCCCGAGTACCTATTAAAAAACGGACCCCAATTAAAAAAAAGTCATGCCGGATCCCCTAAATTCGGTTTATATTTGGTTTTAAATTGCCGCCCTTTCAAACCGCTACTAAACTACCAACATGGTCGATTTTGGTGGTAGTTTTTTTTATTAGGTTCCCCAAAACTCCACCATGACACGCCGCGCTTACACCAGCAGGCTTTCCTTCCCTCAATGGCACGGACTCACGCAAACGCACTTGCCACCGAGGTCATGCAACACCGCATGGCACAGCGACATCACCTTTCGAAAGCTTTAGCTGTTAGTCTACTGAAGAATCACTATTCTAATGAAGGTTTTTGTAGGGGAAAAGGAAGACCCTTTGATCTGGCGGTTTTTTGCATGTTTGATATGAGTTTAATAAAGGATTTTATATAAAATTTTCCTGGATTACTTTTTGGTTTTGAAACTCTTTCCAGGTGACCCTATTTTGAACACCCCGATTTCAGGGACCCCCTATTAAAAAAAATGCGACCGAGGTTTCCTTATTAGGGGGGGGGGGCCGTGTTTATTATTAGGGGGACGGGATTACTGAGTCCTGCAACATCACGAACGGTGTGTTGCAACTGGTCGGACAAATTCTTCATTGTGACCAGTGTAATCTTTTTGGACGGATCAATTATGATCAATTTATAAATGTTCAGCAGAACACCCCCGCGTTGCTTCGTCGCCACGGTGCTCGTGTTGCCGCGGAATCGATGATGAGGTTGGAAGCTGGCTTTTGCAGCACTGAACTTGAACATCTATGGGTTTTCCTCGAGAAGGACTCCCAGCAGCTTCAGATCTCTGCCGAAGTCGCGGAATTGTTCATGGCTGGTCAGACCAGCGATGTGAACGCGTCTGAGATCTGGGGTGGGCTTCCTGCCCCAGGAAAACCCAGAGACTTAACAGGTCTTTGCCCGTGCAGGCATGCCATAGAGGAAGATGGAATAGCACCTGGCTTTTCCGCGCTCAAGTTGAAGGGGTGGCAAATCCCAGCACCATAGAATGACCTAGAAGTCCAAAACCACCCAAGTAAAGGAAACTGCTTTTTGGATGACTTAAAGACCTTTTGAACAATGGTCTTGGCCTCCCAGGGATAATAATATTCCACCTTTTTGATCCGTTTGGCTTTCAACTCCAATTCATTTGCTATCTTTCCAGCAACTTCTTTTGCAGTTTTTGGAACATCGCTACTAGGAACAAGAAGCTACTAGGGGCTCCTGGCATCGCTACTAGGAGCAAGAACGCTACTAGTAGCTCCTGGCCTTACTACTAGACTAGAAGAACATCTACCAATTCAATCCTTTTCGAGGTAGTGGGAGCCAGGTAGGGTTTCATGGGAGAATTGCTCAAGTGATGCATACATGCGTGCCATCAACACAACACATCCCAAACACACAATAGGTCAATAGGAAGGACTCTGCCAAAAACGACCCTCAAACCACAAATCGTCATGTCAGGAACGACGGACTTCCACAAAAGACCCTCAAAAGCCCCCCTGGAAGAAGGAAACTAGACCAGTCTGCCAGTCTACCCATTGGTTGGAGGATGTTGGAGGTCTCCCTGTTTAAATCCACACCCATAATACACGTTGACATACGTTGACCCAACTGTTTGACCCATTGCTCAGCGTTGGGAGGCAAGAAACACTAACACCACACCAGCCATGAAGGTCATCGTGAGCTGTAGCCCGAAGTACTGCATGGACAGCGCAGTGGTCAAGACCTCAGTTCGCACCGCTTTCGACCTCCGCACCGGCGACTTCTTGGGTGAAGAGGTGTGTTGGGGCGTTGGGTGTGTGGATCTGTGACTTGGTGATGTCCACCCCCGCACAGAAGGGTCCTCAAACACACCACCCACCGGTCTATGCACGCAACTTCTGGTTGCTGTGAAGATGAAAACCTCCATGCAGACGCTTCTCTTTGGTACTCTCACCCCTTCCAGCTCACTGCCAAGCAAACGGACTCCCTCTGGAACCCAGACCTCCATCCCCTTCTCGCACACCATCCATCCAACCCTTCTCCATCCGGCAGAAACCAACCCCTTCGATCACGTTTCAGCTCGCACGAACTCCGCTCTGCACCGCCGCATGGACCGCTCCACCACGCGAGCGACCCACCCCACCACGCTCGCGCCACCGTTTCAGCTCGGATCGATCATCCACATCCGGTCGCCGGACGATGGACACCGAGGTGGCGAAGTTCTTCAAGATGTTGTCCGCGTATTTGATCACCGCCTCGAGTCGGAGGCGTAGCCTCGTTCTGTTTTCGGGACGGTTCATCGGCGAGCCTCGATCCGTTTTCGGAGAGGGATCGCCTCGATCCGTTTTCGGTGTTCGGCCGGTCCGGCTATACGGCTCCGCGGAGCTCGCGAAGCGGCAAAAGCGGAAGACAAAGCAAGCAACGGCGAAGACGAAGAACACCATGCCGCGCATTGCTTCTTCGACCCAAGTAAAGCAAGTCAGTCCCCCCAACCAAGTTGAAGTCTGTGAAAGCCCAACTGCTTTGCTTACTCTTCGTGGATGGAATCTATGGGGCGCACTTAGTCAACGTGGCACTCTTCCCGTACCGGCCCTTCGGTCCCTGGGCTGCCCGGACGGCAATCAGGAGACCTGGCGAAAACCAACGCAGGCGAAGCAACCGAGGCGCAACCGGTGAACGGAAGCCGAAGCGACCGAGGTGAAGAACCGGTGAAGTTATACACATGAAAGCAAGGCGTTTTTTTTTCCTGCCTGAGGTCATGACATTGGGGGATTGCAATGCTGAAAAGCAAGGCTTCTTTTCCCGCCTGAGGTCAGACGGGATTGGGGATTGCAATTCTGAAATACCGGAAGAGGAGCCATTCGTTGCAAGCATCCTGACTCCTGTTCGACGAGTAACAAGCTCCTTGTCTAAAAAGAACCTGTCATGTCAAAGGTTTCATGGTCAATTCTCCTGTTTGACGAGTAACAAGCTCCTTGTCTAAAAAGAACCTGTCATGTCAAAGGTTTCATGGTCAATTCTACCAAACAATTCAATATGAAAGTGGTCATCAAATCGTGCTTCACAATTATCCATTACCTGTCATCAGAAGGACACCGCCATACTCACCACCATCTATTCCTCTATACATGTATACAGTATATAATTTGATAGCTTCCTTCTCTTTCTGAAACCATCTGTTCAGACTGTTCAAGTATCTCGCGGTGAGATCTAGGTCACCAACTGGGTTGCTATGATGCCGTCTGCCGTCCGCCGTCCGCCGTCCGGGTCACTCATTGGTCCGACTCGTCGGTGGGTTGGTTAGTCGTGGTCAGGGCCTCCAAAGGCGTTGTTGCAAGCAGAAGCCCAAATCCAGGCATTGTAGCCTCGTGAAGGCTCGGGGAACGCGCACCAAACATCATGCCGCTAGCTTACGACATGTGGGCTTAGTAAACATCATCAAGCATGCATTGGCACTGCTAAGCAGTTCATCCACATGGGATACATAATACATAAGGACCTCTGCTGGAGTTCTGAATCCTGGCTGTCCATCTGTTTTGAGAAGAGAAATCCGTGGTGTGAAGGATAATCCATTATCAAATGTTTGGTTACTCGAGGATCGTATTAACGGTATATACCCCCTTGGTGCAAACAAGATGGAACCCACGAACCCGAATGCAAACACGTTCGAAAAACTAATATGTCCAAATGACACTCTTGTAGGACACTCTTGCGGGACACTCTGTAGGACACTCTTGTAGCACTCTTGTGGGACACTCTTGTAGGACACTCTTGTGGGACACTCTTGTAGGACACTCATTTGGGACACTCTTGTGGGACACTCTTGTAGGACACTCTTGTGGGACACTCTTGTGGGACACTCTTGTGAGACACTCT